CTCAATAATATATAGATAAATATATAGCAGAGTCTTACGTCTCATTAGAGCGGAGCTGTTTGAGACCAGAGAACAAGTTACTAAATTATTTCTTACACTTCTTTAAATGTCTGCAGGGTTTTAAGATGGAAAGCACACAACATAAAAAAGCTTAAATACATTTCTGACAGCTTTTAGATTGTAGTTTTAAAGTTAGACTAAGTGCACTGCTTTTTTTAAAACTATTTTACAAACATTTAAAACATTTAAAGGCACAGAATATAAACTTTTAAGTAACAAACAAACAAAAACAGTAAAATCAAGTAGGTGAAATACATTTTAAGCCTTACCTGTTACATAGAGCTTTGTTCCAGAGCCAAAGATGAGATAGCTGTTGGACTGCTCATCGGATCCTCCCACACTGAAACACACTGATACAAAAACCTTTCTGCCGTTGAGTTTGTCAGCTGAGGTGAATGAGCGTAAAGTATCATATTTCACTTCCAGGAAAGGTCACATGGAGTTTATCATTTTGGCTGCTAACTGCCTTGAAACTGTGCTTCTCTTGGATAAACTACAAGTAACTTTTTATATTTTGTTTTTATTTACCTTTTTCTGAACCATAAAAGTTTTCTTTTAAAAAAAATTACATATTAGTGGCTTATTATTATTTATCATCACCAATTTCCTCAAATCCAGAAAAACAACAATATGGATGATCTCTGGGATTTCATTTATTGGAAAATCACTGTGTGTGTGTGTGTGTGTGTGTGTGTGTGTGTGTGTGTGTGTGTGTGTGTGTGTGTGTGTGTGTGTGTATTTGTTGTGAGGGCTTCTTTGGGTGGTGCTGGTGGGTGGATTCTGCTACCCGGCAGCTATAGGAGTGCCTGGTGTCCAGCGAGAAGCAAACACCCCCATGATAAACATGAGTGCGATGCAGATGGCTCTCAAGGAGTTGATGATAATCACAGATACATCAAGTGAAGGCTCTCCTTGGTCCGTTACTGACCCGTGGTTCTCAATGGTCTCATGGAAAGTGATTTTCAGAACGGCCTTAGCACTGAGACTCTCACTTCCTTGATCTCTGACCACAACAGTCAGCTCTGCATGGTCATGGGGGACATTATCCAGACTAGCGTTGGCATGAATCTCACATGTTCTTGGCTCAATCAAGAAGAATCCTTCTTCGTTGCCACTGACTATAGAGCAAATGAGCTCAGCATTGACTCCTGTATCTCTATCAGTTGCCCTAACCACAGTTATTAAGTGTCCAGCCTCTGTAAATTTTGAAGCAGGCACATCTGCAGTGAAGTTACACAGCTGAGGGACCACAATGACTGGAGGGTTGTCATTTTCATCCAGAATGTTCAGAATAACTGCGGCATTGCTGAGCAGTGCTGGTTTTCCTGCATCCTTTGCTTGC